ACAGACCCCTCAACGCCACATGCCCCCCTGTGGGAGCAGGACAGGTGGGAGCAGGACAGGAAGAAGAGTGAGGAAGCGATTAGAGGAGGGACATTGGTGCTCAGGAATTATTGAGTGAACATGGGTGTGGTTTTTTCCCAACTCAGCGGACAGGAGTGGAAGGAGCAGGAGCATCAGTAGAGTAGGGAAGGAGGGAGAGTGCAACAAGAGGACCGGGGGGCATAGTCCGTGGCAGTATGCCCCCCCTGTGGAGATTGGAGGCAGGGAGGTCCCTCGCAATCTTGGCACAAATAGCCCATATCAAACATGCTCGCTAGCTTGCGTAGCGACAGCCTAAAAATAACCATCAGACAGAGGGATGACTTTTTGGCTGTCCACCCATGTTAGGTACCTCGCTACCGTTCCAAAAATGGTGCCTTTCCATCCCACACCAGCTGAAGGGAGGCCAAAATAAACGTACTATAGAAAAACCACCTATGTAGCTCTGCTGGTCTCTGCCATTCTGCCCAACGTCCCTCCCCCCGAACACTGTGGGCCCTTGCGCTCGCGTTCCGCTGCCAGGGGGCAGGGGGGGGGGGGTTGGGGTGGTAGGAGCAGGGCAGCTCCACCAGCAGCGGCTGCCTCAGTCGGGCAGTCGATGAGGAGAAAGTTTTCCCTTCCACCACGCAGTGGGGAAACCCCTCAAACCCCCAAAGCCGACAGCAGCAGAAAGCACCCATCAGGTGGACCTGGGCGGGACCTAAAACCCAACCCGGGCTTAGGCCAAATTTGGAAAAACCCCCTTTTCCAAACCCCGGGGGTAGAAAAATCCCCTTGACTACTGGGAAAACAAAAACTTGACCTTTGGCCCCAACTAGCTGAATTTCCCCTTTTTAAAGGGCTGTCAGGGGCCCGGCCTAAAACGTGGCATGGGAGCGCGTGTTTAGTGGGGCAGGGGGTTTTAGTAACTCCGGGGAGGCCACGACTGCCACCCAAAAGTGTGGAGAGACCAGGTTTGGGAAAAAAAATCAGAGGGTTTAAAGCCCGGGATTTCAAAACCACCAGTTTCCTAAACCCAACTGACTAAATCCGCCAAAAAATAAAGCCCCCAAAACAGGGGCCACTTTCAGGTCTCCTCAACCCCTTGGGGGTTTTCCCAATTTTTTTGACAAAAGGTGCTGGCAGTTTAAACGGGCCCCCATAGCTGCGCCATGGCCTGAAAATCTCCCAAAGGCCCCCCCTTACCGTTTGTCCCCGCTGCGCTGGGTCCCCCAGTGGGGCAGGGCCCTGTCCCGCCTCCCATTGCTCCCACCCCTCCCAAAGGCCCCACTTTCAGGTCTCCTCAAAACCCTGCTGGGGTTTTCCATTTTCCCCATAGGTTGCGGCAGTTTACAGGCCTCCCATCGGCTGCCAGGCCCCAAATCTGCCTTTGGGCCCCCGTACCGCCCTCTCACCCCTTGCTGCGGGCCCACATGTGACATTGGCCCTTGAAACCGCCCCCCCCCTTTGGGCCCCCCACTCTGCCATGTTCCATTTTGAGGCTCCTCACACTCCTGTTTGGTTTCCTTTTTTGTAAATAGGTTTCGTATGGCCCCCCCATCCCTGCTGCCCTCCACCTCCACACTGGTTTCCAAAACACGGGTTTTTTTGGCCCCCCGGACGGGCCCCAAATGAGTGAAGGGGTGGGGTGATTCTAAGATCGACGGCACTCACTGAAATGTCATACTAAACTGCCCCAAGTATTATTTCTCTTTCCCCAAAGCAAAACCCCAAAAGGGGCTTTTTAAATTTAAAAGGTACAGGTTCTGAAATAATATTAAGTCCCGGGAAACCTAGAAACCCCTTTTTTTTAAAAATTTAAAATTTTCACGGGAATTTTTTCATTTCAAATCGAATTTTGCCCAAACAAATTTCGCCAAATAAATTTCGAATCGAATTTTTCTTTTCCCCTCGCTCTTTCTCTAAAAATAATGTCCCAAATAAAAAATTTAACCCCTCGTCTATTTGGGCATTTCCAAACCCCCTTTCCGGCCTCCCGGACACTTCTACCCCTTCCTGCCTAACCGGGACACTTCTTACCCCCTTCCTGCCTACCGGACACTTCTACCCCCTTCCTGCCTACAGGGCACTTCTACCCCTTCCTGCCTACAGGGCCCTTCCTGCCTACAGGGCACGGTTCTACTCCCTTCCTGTGCCTACAGGGCACTTCTCTTCCTTGCCTCACTTCTTACCCCTTCCTGCCTACCGGCCCATCTACCACTTCTACTGTCGGACACCCTGTACCCTTAGCCTACGGGCACACGTTCTTTCCCTCTTCTGGCCTATCGGGCACTTCTACCCACTTCTTCCGTCCTGCCTACTCGGGCACATCTACCCCCTTCCTGCCTACCGGCAATTCTACCCCCTTCCTGCCCAGGCCAATTTCCAGCTTTCCAGCGCTGTTGCAACTTTGATGACAAGCTTGTGCGGGGTCATGCACACACTGTACCCAGTATGACATTTTTTATTATTTTTTTTGTGACAGATAGAGCTTTATTTTGGTGGTATTTAATCACCTCAGGGTTTTTTATTTTTTCTTAAACAAAAACCAAAACACCCACTGAAAAATTTTGAAAAAAAAAATGTTTTTTCTTAGTTTTTGTTATAAAATTGTTGTAAATAAGTGATTTTTCTCCTTTCACTGATGTGCGCTAATGAGGCTGCACTGATGGGCACTGATAGGTGGCACTAATGAGGAAGCACTGGTAGGTGGCACTGATGGGCATTGACAGGCATCACTGATGGGCACTGAAAGGCAGCACTAATACCTGGCACTGACACGCGGCACTGACAGGCACTTATAGGCGGCACTGATGTGCACTGATAGGCAGCACAGATTGGAAGCACTGATAGGTGGCACTGATTAGCATTGATAGGTGGCGCTGACTGGCACTGATGGGTGACACTGAAAAGCAGCTCAGATGGGCACTGATATGTAGCACTGATGTGCACTGGCACGAGGCAATGATGGACACTGACAGGTGGCACTGCTGGGGCTATACTGATCATCAGGGCACACTGATCATCAGTGCTCATATGATCAGTGTACATGTCCCCTTCGCGGAAAGCCGATTACCGGCTATTATCCTCCCCTCTGTCAGCATGACAGCTCGAGGGGAGGAGAGAAATGCCGATAACCGGCATTTCCCTGTTTACATGCGATCAGCTGTGATTGGACACAGTAGATCACATGACCGAGCCGACATCTTCGGGTCTTTCCGTGATCCACTGTGTCCAAGGGGACACAGCGCATCAGCGATCGTCGTGCTGCTGCGTGCTCCCTGAGCCGCTCATGGCGCAGGCTCAGGCAAGTGAGAATGGGAGGACGTCATATGACGTCCTATCAGAACGAGAGAAACCGCCTTGCGCCCGTCATTGGAACTATATGGTGGGAGGTGCTTAAAGTCCAATGTGTTTTCTGCCTGCTGATGGGAGAGCTGTATACAGATAATAGACTTGGATAGTCGCCTCTTTTATGCGCTCACCTTCCTCAAAGCCTAATATTAGGCTGACATGGCTTCCTGGGAGGAGATGGAATAGATTCCTCTAGGATGGGATGAGTTGATGGCTCTCCTATATGGGATGAGTTACTTCCTGGATGTGACCATGTGTAGGAATGGTGGGATCTCCCTCCTTACACTGCTTGCTCCATCTCCCTATTGTTCCTGGTCATGAAGGGGGGGAAACCCTTGTATGCAGCTGAATGGAGGTTTATACTAGAAGATTGTCAGCACCTCATTGAATATATATTGTTACCGGGTATATAATCCCTACTACACCATTGGTCTGGGGAAATATTATACAGCCAGTGTTCAAAATAGAGATTCCTTCATCTATAGGCGCTAGGGCGCGGCACCCATTTCTAATTGTAACACTGTATTGGTGTCACCGGGGATGTCAGTGACACCAAGTCACCACCCCCCCCCCCCCCAGTGTCAGAATGCCCGCCGCAGTCCCGATATAAGTCGCTGATCGCCAACCATTACTAGTAGAAAAGAAATAAAATCCCCGTATCTATACCGCCAATGTTGTCATTATTACAATTATTGAATAATTGGAGGATTGGCTCCTCCCACCCATGCTAGATAGTGACACAAAGGTGGTAATAATTCATTCAATGAAGGCCGTGGTTGGAATGAGGACCTCGGAGTAGCCAATCATACACATCATTCATTGTGAAGAAACTGTTCCGTCATCGGAATTACTTCTGCTTTAAGGATGTCTTCAGAAACCCTCATTAGATATGCGCTTCAAAGGCTCCTCCCATCCAGGATAAATAGTGACACAAAGGTGATAATAATTCATTCCATGATGGCCGTGGTCGGATGAGTATCCCGGAGTCACCAACCATACCCATAATTCACTGTGGAAAAGCCAGTAAACCGATAGGATTAGTTCGATGTCAGACTTTCCACACACTGAATTATGGGTATGGCCGGATCCTCCGGGATACTCATCCGACCACGGCCATCATGGAATGAATTATTACCACCTTTGTGTCACTATTTATCCTGGATGGGAGGAGCCTTTGAAGCGCATATCTAATGAGGGTTTATGAAGACATCTCCAGTATAAGAATGTCTCCATAGAGGGTCCCCCATCTATGATAAATACTGACACAAACATGATAATAAAGGGGAAATCCCAACCCCCCCTCCCCCCTCTAACAAAAAACTCTCTGTAAACCCCCATTGGTTGTCACTTACCTGTAGCCGCAGTGGTGTGATCATCCAGAGCCGGGTCTTTCTCCTCACCGATGGCATCCTGGAGGGGTCCCTCTTGTGGGGGAAGGGAGGGGCACATCACACAGGTATTCCCATTGGCCGGCCAGCAGACCATTTTTATTGCTGTCACAAGAAATGTAAACATCCCTTGTGACAGCAATAGGCAGTGACAGGTCCTCTCTGTATGGAGAGTTTGGGGGGGAGGGGTGTCTATTAGAACCCCCATCTCTCCTTTAGGCTCCAGTGCAGCCAATCAGACAGAGATCGTTCTGATTGGTCGCTTCGCTGGGCGGTAGCCGGCCAGAAAACAAAGAGCCGGAACCGGAAGGGACTAAATCCTGGATGTTCCGGGATGTGACATCACACAGTGGGAGGAGCAACTTCATTTCCTCTCACTGTGCGCCGGGGCAAGATGGCCGCCAGTCACATCCTTATTGGGCTCCTTGATCGCTTGGGGGGGCCTGGTATAAGGGGCAACGTTGGGGGGGGGGGGGGGCCCCCTTCCATCACCCGGAAAAGTAAAGCCTCCCGGATTATTTCTACATGAAAGTAAAAAAAACACAAAAAAATGTATCTGGGATCATGGCTGTAACCTCAACCGAGACCCGGTATAACCGCTTCCCTGCCACGCCGCAGATATACAGGGTCCAAGGGGGGAGGGGAATCCCACAGGATATATATATACATGGAGCAGGGGGGAGGGTAATCTCACAGTATATATATATATATACCAACATGGACCAAGGGGGAGGGGAATCTCACAGTATATATATATACATGGACCAAGGGGGGAGGGGAATCTCACAGTATATATATATACATGGACCAAGGGGGGGGGGGGAATCTCACAGTATATATATACATGGACCAAGGGGGGGAGGGGAATCTCACAGTATATATATACATGGACCAAGGGGGGGGGGGAATCTCACAGTATATATATACATGGACCAAGGGGGAGGGGAATCTCACAGTATATATATATACATGGGACCAAGGGGGAGGGGAATCTCACAGTATATATATATATATATATATATAGGGGAAGTCAGGTCCATAATATATGGGACATCGAAACAATTATATACATTTTGGCTCTATAGGGGAATCCACATAATATATGAAATGAAGGGGGGAGATGGGAATCTCAGACTGTATATATATATTTACATGGACCAAGAATCTCAACAGCTTGCATATATATCGGTGGAGGGGAATCTCACAGTATATATATACATTGACCAATGGAGGGGAAACAGTTATATGATGCCATGGACCTCAGCTTGTTAATCTCACAGGAGTAATTATACAAATTCATTCTATCCCAATTACAATGTGCAGATAAAATCAGGTCCAGAAAATTTCAAGTGTGCTTTTGCATTAACATACAGTGAAGACACAACTCTCAAGATAAAAGGAATCCAAGAGCTTCATACAGTGTGAAGCCATAGATAGGCTGAAATCTGTTTGCAACAACTTAGAAGATAGAAAAAACAGGGGTGTCAATCCAACTCATTGGCTTAACATTCTTAAAAAAAAGGAAATGAGAGAGGTCCAAAAAAAATGACAGGTGATTGTGCAAAAGCAATTTGTTGAATGCTAATTGGTCATTCAGCCAACCTTGACTCCCAGTGAACAACATTGATGTGTTGAAGTCATCAGTTAGCAACTGGTTTCAAAAGCACTGTCCAAAATGTGAACCAAATGAAAAGCATGGTCACAAAGAGCTTCATGAACCACTCAAAACAAGAATTTGTGAAGACTTAACTTGTGAAGCTCAAAGGTAAAGCATGAGCAAAGGAAGAAACTTGAGCAGAGAGAATTCTGTGACCAAAAACGGAGCCTGTCACAGACTGTCAAAACATCTGACAGAGAAAGAAAACCCTGGTGTACCAAGTTGCAAAAACAAAAAAAGCCTTCAAAAACACATTAAAACAGATCAAGAACACTCTCCATGAAGGCCAGGTGTAAAGTGTGTCCCAAAGTGTGGCTAAACCCAAGAGAAGACTTCACCAGATGGAACAGCTCTGTGTAACACATTCCTGATGTGACACCACTACAAAAGGAAAACCATGACAAACATGGGAAGCCAGAATGATGGAGACACCACACGAGTAAAAATGCATCACAGTTCTGGAACAACATCAAAAAGAAGAATCTTCACCGAGATCAGACTTGCCAAAGTGATGTAAAAAAGAGCACTATGGATGTTCATGGAACACACTACTGGCATGTGGGAATATGATGACTGTGGACATATGAAACCATTGATTGGAGTGTATGGGAAGAAGACACGGACACTAATGTGAGGATGTTTCGGGAAAATCAAGGGCAGCATGACTCAGCATCCAACTCACCTCATCACTGTGAATCATGGGGAAATGCATCATGTGACCCATGGCGGGGCTGTATGCTGCCAATGGAACTGAATGTTGTCATTGATTGATGATGTGACCTGAATGCAGCCAATGAATTGTGAAGACATTGCAGGAATGATTATCGTAACAGTCATGTCAGTGCCACTGATGCTTCCCAAATGTCACACATTGGACGCTTCACAGTGCAGATGACCCAAAGACCCAAAGCAGACTGCAAAATGCAACCAAAGAGCAGTGGAATTCTGCTTCTGGCAAGTGGCCCAGTCCATCACCAGAAGACCTGAATCGATTGAGCATTTCACTTGCTGTGGCAAGACAAAAAAGAAAAGCAGGGAAATCATGTCCCAAGAACATTGCAGGACACTGAAACAGTTGCAGTAGAGGCCTGGCAAAAATCACCAGGGATGACACCCAGCGTCTGATCTGTCAAGGAAACTATGCGTTCCAGGAAACTTTTGGCTGTAATTGACTGCAAAGGATGTGCAACCATTATTAAAAAGTGAAAGTTTGATTTTCACATATTATTATTCCTCCATTACTTGTGAAAGTCCCTTAACAAGTGGAAGTGCAATATAAACATGGTAATTCCAACACCGTTAACCTGATTTGGATGTAAATACCCTCAAAGTAGTGTGCTGACAGTCTGCAGTTAAAGCACATCTTGGGAATTTCATTTCAAATCCCATTGTAATATAGAGCCAAAAATGTTAGAATTCCCAATCACATACTTTTATGGCAACTGTATATATACATGGACCAAGGGGGGAGGGGAATCTCACAGTATATATATATACATGGACCAAGGGGGGAGGGGAATCTCACAGTATATATATACATGGACCAAGGGGGGAGGGGAATCTCACAGTATATATATACATGGACCAAGGGGGGAGGGGAATCTCACAGTATATATATACATGGACCAAGGGGGGAGGGGAATCTCACAGTA